CATGCTCGGGATCTGACTGTGGTGGTGGTGATGGGATGTGCCGGCGGCGGAGCTCGGCCAGTCGGTGCCGCTGGGGTGGCGTCGGTAGGTAGAGAGTATTTGGGAGTCGAGAAGCTCGGTGGCGGTGGGGGGGAAGCCGAACATCTCGGAGAGCATGCCGGAGGACGGGTCGTCGTGGAGGCCGGCGAGCGGCGGAGGGGGGTCGAAGCCCTGGACGCGGAGTTTGTCTCGCCGGAGCTGTTGGGCGAGGTGGGTCTGAGGAGGTGGAGGAGGAGGAGGAGGCGGCTGTTGTGATCTGTCGAAACTGTTGGAGAAATTGAAGATGGCGGCTTGGTGGTTGTAATCTTGGGACATGGAATTGAATGGTGGAGGTGGAGTTCGCCGGAGATTGTTGTCGGTAAATTGAACAGAAGACGATGACTGTGTTGCTAATCCCATGTTGTCTCTGTGTAATTAGTCATTCTTTTATTTTATTTTTTTCTTTTGTCTGAATTGTTTGGATCGAATAGCTGATCAGTATGGACAAAAGAATTTCAAGAATTGATGAGATCGATTCAGCATAATTCAAAATAGAAAAATGAACCAAAACACAAATTAAATAAAATAAAATAAAAAGGAAAAGAAAATTGAGAGAGGATAGAGCGACTAAAAGATGATGAGAGGAGTAAAAAGTGAAAGCATATCGAACGGGAGTCTTTCTTGTAGTCCTCTTTTTCGGAATAATAATTTTGATTAAAAATTGTGGTTCACATACAAACACACACACACACACACAACAAAAGAAAAAAAAAAAGAGATTTTCCTTAATTTTTCCCCCTTTTTTTTAAGAATTATTTAAGCTTTATTTCTTTTTTGGTAGCCAGTCACCGTATCCGAAACAAATTATTTAAGCTGTATTGAATAAATTGATGAAGTCATATGTAATATACCATGTAACAATTAACAACATACCTTCTTACAGTTGCAGGCTCTGGAAAGGGAGTAGTCTAACCTTAGACATCATTTTCTTTTCTTCTCTGGGATTTGTGAAAGGATGAATTTAATTCTTCTTTTCTTCTTCTTCTTCTTCTTGAATTTCTCTATTTAATTTTCTCTCTCTACCTTTCTCTTTCTCTCTCTCCTTTTTTTTTTTTTCTTTGTATATCCCTTTGCAGTGAGAGTGCTGTTTGTTCTCTGCAAATCGCCTTCTCGAAAGAGATAATAAAACAACTAAAAATCTAATAAGTGTGTTTTTATTTTATAAGAAATTCCAAAAAAATTAATTAATAAAAAAAGAAAGGGTGTCTCTGCAAAATCTCTCTCTCTCTCTCTCTCTCTCTCTTGGAAAACGCACACCAAATTATGAGAAGGGAGAGATTAGATAGATAGTGAGTGAGTCGCTGTTTGGTCACCACTTTTTGTTTTTCTATTTTTGTTCTTTAATTAAATTGGTTGTAATTTTTTTTATTTATATTTATATATATATATATAGAGAGAAATGCTACAGTCCCGTTACGAAACCATTCCGTCAAAATTTGTAACCGTTAGATCAACTATCTCCAACGGTTATATGATGATCTAACGGTTACAAACCCCAACGGAACGATTCCGTAATAGGACTATAGCATCTCCCATATATATATGTATATATATATATATATATATATATATATTTTATTTGTAGCTTCTCCAACTTGACAAAGAAAGGTAAAAGGGAGTTTCGTGACAAAGATAACAGACCTGAATTATTAATCCGACTGAGTCAATGACGTGATTGCCCCTCTCCCCTTTCTAAATTTCTAATCAACAATTTATATGGATAGTAGTTCATTGGCTAGCTTGTCCAATATTTAATTAAAAATAGAAAAAAAACAATAGTATCAAGTTTTTAATTCTTATTAGCAAATAAGGAGAAATACTACCGTTTCGTTATGGAACCATTTCATTGGGATTTGTTACCGTTGGATTAGTGATGTAATGGTTACAAATTACGACGGAATAATATCGGTATAACTATGTAAAAATCTTGTAATTTTACACATATCAGTATAACTATGTAAAAATATTATCTAATTATTCTATGTTTAAATATTCACCGATAATGTAAATAAATAATACTAATGATAAATTTTGTTAATTAATGCTTACATTCATCCTTTTATTATCATCTACTCCCTCCTATTTTTAATAAGTGTCGTTTTGATAAAAATTGCACAATAATTAAAAATATTTTTTTTACCAATAATAACCCTCATTAATGAAGATAGAGATGAATGTTTTGAAAAAAAAAATAAAGAATAAACATGAAAAGACGTGGTGTATTTATTAACTAGATGAGGGTAATAATGAAAATTATGTACAAAGTATCCAAAACAACATTTATTTAGTTAATTGTTGATAAGGCCAAAATGACATTTAAAACAAATAGAAGGTTGTATTTGTTTTTTGTCAGACACTCCTTATTATTATTATTATTATTATTATTATTATTATTATTATTATTATTATTATTATTATTATTATTATTATTATTATAATTTATCAAACACTTCTATCACTCAATATTTTTTTGAATATTTTTATCAAAAGGAGATGAGGCCTGATGGGAGCGGCTGTTGCAAGCCCACTTTAGACATATATGATGAGCCCAAATAAGAAATACAATTTTTAATTATGTGAATATTTTTAATCCCAATATTTTATCTAGAGTAAATTATATTGACCAATAAATTAATTTACTAAGCCTAATTTTGACCAATAAATATCTATATTGGCCAATACAAGAACGTGACAAACTGTACGACGAATTGAATTACCTGAGTGTACATATAATTAATGGAGAGTACCAAATATATTGTGAGACCTTTAAGAATTTAATGTTTTTTCTGTTGTAAAAGAAAGAAAGCTTGTGGATGCCGAATTGGGAGTTTTAGAAATTACTATCAGTGAATCTTTCTTCTTTAATTATAGCATTACCTTTTCTTTTTCATTGTTAAATTCAATGAAGTAGGAGCTCGAGACCTAAACGAGCCGAGTTCGAATTCGATTTTAGACTCAATTAATTTACGAGCCGAGTTCGGCTCACCTCGTTAAAGGCTCGAGCTTGAACTCCCTAAGTTCGAGCTCGGCTCGATTCGTTTACAGCCCTAAGTAGGAGTAAAGACGTATGGTTTTAGATTATGGTAATAATTAAATTACTTGCTAGATTTAATTTACCAACTTATTTGATCGCCTAAAATTCACAGAAATACATTCTTTGTTAGAATGGTGTTCTGTTATGAAGATTCGAGCATATATGCATTGCTATCAAAGTCGTTCTGCGACTTTGTTCTCATTGTTTTTTACTATTTTGCCCTTAGGTCGTATTTCAGCGTTTCAGCGTTTTGTTTTAATTGATGTGGGACGCGTGTCTAGTTTTAATTGGTTGTAATGGCAGCACGTGAACTGTGTGTGTATGCCTCGTATATGTACTGATCTTTTTTCTCTGTTTTTGAGCTAAGAAAATTTTGGGAAATTAAAAATTGTCTTCTAGATCTAGAACTTATCAATTCTACATGGTATTCAGAGCAGGTTCTTAAATCGAGCTTGCTATGGCGCGCAACGAAGCAAGGAACAATGAAAACCGTGACAGACAGATCGTTGGAAGGCAGAGCTATGGTAGAGATTCAGATCCATTATCTCTTCATGGCTCGGATCACCCGGGAATGGTACTCGTCACAACTGTACTTACGGGAGCAAATTATTCCCATTGGAGTAGAGCTATTAAGCTGGCGTTGGGAGCTAAATCGAAGCTCGGCTTCATCAATGGAAGCCTCGAGGTGCCTGTTCAGGATTCTGAGGATTTTGAACAATATCAGAAAGTCGAGTTCATGGTAATTTCGTGGCTCCTTAACTGTATATCTAAGGATATTGTTGAAGCTTTTGTATATGTGAAGACTGCTAAACAGTTATGGGATGAATTGGCCGAAAGGTATGGTGAGAGTAATGGACCTCTTAGGTATCAACTTCAAAAGGAAATAGCAAACTTTTCTCAAGGAACTCGCTCAGTCACAGTTTATTATACAAAATTAAAATGTTTATGGGATGAATATGCTTGTTTGGTGTCTTTGCCTGAATGCAATTGTGGAACTGGAAAGGCTTTTCATGATAATGATATGGAGACAAAGCTCATGCAATTTCTCATGGGATTAAATGAAGTTTTTGAACCTGTTAAGAACCAGATTCTATTGATGGATCCTTTGCCAACCATCAACAGAGCATACTCCATGATATTAAAGGTTGAGAAGCAAAAAGGAATGTCATTTAATATGACTGAAGCCCTTGAGAACTCTGCAATGATGGTGAGAGGAAACTATGGGAGAGGGAATGGCAGAGGTGTAGGTTTTGGGAGAGGAAGTTCAAATCGGGAAGTCACAACAGGGAGCAACTTTGGTCAGATTGGTAGGGGAAGAGGAAATCAAAGACTGTCAAAGGAGGAAAGGGCCAAACTTTATTGCACACACTGTGGCTACAATGGGCATGAGGTACAAGGATGTTTTAAAATAAATGGCTACCCGGACTGGTATAAAGAGCTAAAGGGGCAAAGGCAGAATCAGAATGCAAATATGGCTGAAAGTGATGAAGGTTCAAACGGAGACAGTGAGATAAAATCACAACACAGTGATTCTATTCCTGATATAGGATCACTAATTCAAAAGGAGGTTGCAAAATATATTTCAGGACATCACATGGGAGAGAGTCATTCCTTTTCACACTTTGTGGATCATGAAGGAAGTTCTGAGGATTATGCTTTTTCTATGCTGAGTCATCTGAAAAGGGGAAGCTGGATAGTGGACACAGGAGCAAGCAAACACATATGTTCTGATCTCAATATGGCTGTTAAGTTGAAGGAGATAAGAGCACCTATCTTTGTAAATCTTCCTGATGGTACTAAGGTAGAGGTGCATCAAACTGGAGAAGTGAAACTAAATGATCAGATAATGCTCAGAAATGTCTTAATGATTCCAAATTTTAAATATAATTTGCTTTCTGTGGGGCAGTTGATTAAAGAGCATAATATGGTCTTTGAGTTTGATGATCAGGGATGCAAATTGAAAGAGCCTAAACAAAATCTTGCTGTAGCTTTTGGGAAAACCTTTGGTGGTCTGTATGTATTAGATCAAGAGCAACAAGTGGTCAGCATGGTCAGTGGAGAAAGTGAACAAGAAAATGAATTAGAACTTTGGCACAAAAGGCTAGGTCATGGATCTATCACCTCACTGAAACATAGGGGTGGGCGCGGTCCGGGACGGTCCGGGATTTCACCTATCCCGGTACCTGTCCCGTTTTTTTGAGCCGGTCCGGGACCGGTCCGGGATGAGACCCCGTCCCAAACGGATCGGTATCAATCCGGACCGGGACAAAACGGTTCGGGACCGGGTTAAAACGGGAAAAAAAAAAGTTCAAAATTCAAAGTTTCA